AATTTAAACATAATCTCTTAAATTTGAAATTGGTAAAACTAAATCCCTTAGTTAATAAATGTTCCCTATATTCTACGGTACCAGTCCAGCCTTGGGCCATTGCTGCATAATGATTGGTACCTTGGGGAAGAAAAATTCATTCATAATTTGGCCCATAATTAATGACTTAAATAAATGCACAACAATAAGTGGCACGATCGAGACGCCTCTAGTGATGAATCTGACTTGGATATCTTTGTCCCAAATTGCTATCATAATTTAACATGTTTTTTTTTTACATGTAAATGATCGTATAATTTAAAGACTGAAGTATTGAAATATGTATTAGTAAACACAATGCAACCCATTTTAAAAGTTAAAATAAAGAGCTTCTTGAAATTTTGAAGCATTGACTCTCCTAAAGTAAAGAGTACCTTGTATTTAGAGGTCTATTGGATATGCTTTCAATCAAGATATTAGTCGAAGCAACAAATCTAGCCACGATTAATGTGATATAAACGATGCATTGAAATATAATTAAAAGAAGGTAAAACTCGTATAGTTTTTGAATGATTTTAACTCATAAACACTAAGAATTAAGTAACCTAACCCCCTATTTGATTTTGATAAAAATCAAATTTTTGATAGATTTTGATAAAAGTGTATAGTTTTTGATGAAATATATAGTTGAAAAATTAATAAAAATTATGAGTTCCATAAAACGTGTGATAGAAAAAGAATTTGAAAATAAAAATAAAAATTTTAAGAAATAGAGATCAAACAACAGCTAAATATGTAATAATTTGAAATAATGATTGTTGCGGAAATCCCTAGAGAAATATTTAGTTCCGAGCTAAGAAAAACCAATCAAATGCATGCCATCAATTTCAAGCTCGACCTAAAACTCCCAAACACTTGGGTTGCCATGAGTCTTCTCTCTTTACCCCAAAAAGGAGAACACTACGGTAGTGGTGATTTGCAAAGGGAGGAAGAAAATGGAAAAAAAAAAAGGTAATGTTTGAATCTCACACAAGAACCTTCAAACTCTCGACTACATCTTTCTGTTTTTCTCTCCTCTACTGTGTGCGTGCGCACACACACATAGAGATGAACACGGCTAGGAGAGGAGAACATATATGCCTAAGATCATTTGCTAAATACGGGACAAGGTAAATAACAAACCACTTGGGCCAACAATCCACATGTACTATCCAAACCCAATGATCCAACTCAATAACTTAGGCCCTCCAGAAGTGTTGGTCGTTTATGGGTCACACCAAGTCTATGATGTCGATAAATTATCCGACATCTACTTTAAATTATCGTTCGAATTTATAGGGTATCAAAATCGAACAAATCTTCACCTTGATACTCAATCAACTTGCAAGTAAATAAAACACAAAATTTATACTTACATTATCAAGGTAACCAATAAAATTGGAATCACAGGTCTTATCTCGTGTTTGGGCTCGAAACACAAAACCATACATGCTCCGTATACTAATTAAGGCTAAGGTCAAAAACAACCAAATAGAAGCAAATAATAGCAATAATCAATCAAGAGCAAATAAACATGTGATATAAATATCATATAGGATAACGCATAAATCTTTTCAAAGGCGTTCACATAAAACAAAAGACTAATACCAAGTTAATCAATCGAACTACCAACTTATATGAAACATATGTATAAATGACTCCACAAAAAGATCTCACCACACTTATCATATCAAATTCCATGTTGCTTGCACCTCGAAAATACATATCTTCTCTTATCATCCACCATGCTCCCTAGACTGATTGTTAACTTGTGTCTAACTGGTTAATCATTATAGATCCTAAGTTCATGGGATAATCCTCTATCTCTACCTCACTTCTCTCAACCTAAGTGAATAATGGGTCTCCACCCAACAGAAGTGATAGAAGTATCTATCTCACACTCTCCACCCAATCAAGGTCTTAATAGATAGAGAATTCTAACAACGATAGTTCGTATGCATCGAGAAATGAAGAGTAGAATAGAGAAGGTAATTGGAAACTCTCAAAAGAATCTAAAGACGGTCACACACACACGTTTTATCTCAACGCACATCAACACTAATCAACATTTAATCACATCTCATCTCGTGATACAAATGTCACACATCTCCCCGTACAGATCACCAATGCATACTTAGGCATCTATACTATACAATAACGAAGGACATACTGCTAATGCATCTAAGACCCATTATGGCAAAAATCAACACATTTGATAACCACAAAGGTTAGTGCTGAATTGAAATCAACCCACGCACCACAAGGTTACTCCAACACCAATGCTTAAAAAGTCCACAAAAGATTTATCCCAGAAAAGAAAGGGTGAAAAGTATTAACAAAAATAATTGAAGAAAGAGTTGGTTATTAAATAGGCTCATAAAAAGGAAGAAAATAACCCACACACGACTGTCCCATATAAACTCATAGAGATGAAGGAGAAAATTGTTGCCACATATAGTCTCACAAACTCATAGAGATAAAGGATAAAATTGTTGCACCTCTTTCTTCTCACTACCACACTCTCTCACACCATTTACGGAGCAAAAGGAGTACGTCATAGATCTTAATCCACTGTACATACAAACATATTACATAAAGTAATCAAATTGCTCTCAAAATTCAGCAAATATACATATCAAACATATTGAAATGTAACATTTAGCCCCCGTTTGGCACCCATTTTTTTTCATTCGCATTCTCATTCTTTTTCTCTTTCTTCATTTCAACTATACATTCTATCAATAAAATAATATTACACATAAACCTAAAAATTCTCCTTACTTTTTAACCACACATTTTTCCATCAATCACTATTCAA